GCGTGCGAGCGTGTGTGTGTGCGTGTGCAGATTGAGTGCGTGTGCGTGTGCGTGTAATGCATGCAGGTTGAGTGTGTGTATGTGCATGTGTGTGTGTGTGTGCGTGTGCGTGTGCGTGTAATGCATGCAGGTTGAGTGTGTGTATGTGCATGTGTGTGTGTGTGTGCGTGTGCGTGTGCGTGTGCGTACGCATGCGAGCGTGTGTGTGTGCGTGTGCAGATTGAGTGTGCGTGTGCGTGTACGTGCAGGTTGAGTGTGTGCATGTGGATGTGTGTGTGTGCGTGTGCGTACGTGTGTGTGTGCGTACGCGTGCGAGCGTGTGTGTGTATGGTAGATGAGAAAACGTTTCAGCGTTTCAGCCATGTGGTTGAACATAAGTTTATTATGCAGTTTATTATTCTGATCTCAAACGAAACGCAGTTGTTAGTCAGGGAAAGAAATCAAAATCACTGCTAGTCCTAATGTGTGTGTTTTGATAGTTTGCAGTGAATTTGTTCAGGACATTACCACCACCATCAAATCCAAACGGTGCAGAGTTTGATCCAGAAGAGGATGAGCCCACACTTGAAGCTGCTTGGCCACACTTACAGGTAGAATTTCGTAGACATAAATGTCTTCTTCTCTTTCTCGCGTATAATACATGTATAAATACACGTTTCACTCCATACTCGCCATCCAACAATTTCAACTTGTTGTGAGCATTGAGTTATGCACCAAAACTGATATTGTATACAAATACACATTTGCGAATATGGGCGTGCTGAACGAGTGCTGAACGAGTCTGTAGCGCGCCCAGCGTTCTTCTAGCGTGTTGCTAGCGTGTACGCAGCGTGTTGCCATGGGGTATATAAACGGGTCTCGCCCCCACCTCATCATCACTTCTCCTGCGACCCTCATGGGTGATGACAGAGGTTCCTGCTGATCGTGTCTAGAAGAACCACCTCAGAAGATGGAGGATCCCGACAGGCTGTGACTACAATACGAAATTGCGGTTCTCCAACATCAGCAGAACCTCATGGAACTAGCACTTCACCAAGTCCATGTCATCGGGAGAAGGAGAAAGAGAAGAGGTCAACGGAGGTTCTGGGTTCGACCGTGGATCGGTAGGCGACGACAGTTTGGCCTGTATGACCAGCTACTTGTTGAACTCCGTAACGAAGACCAGGCAGCCTTCAAGAACTTCATGCGGATGCCCCCTGAGATGTTCGACGAGCTGCTAACCAGAATGGGTCCGAGGATCACCAAGCAGAATACAACCTACAGATCGAGAGGCCCTCGACCCTGGCCCGAAGCTTGCCTTCACTCTGTGGCATCTTGCCTCTGGGACCAAGTATCACTCAATGTCCTATGGGTGGAGGGTGCCTCACAACACCATATCCCTGACCTGTTCGTTCGCTGACCTGACCGTTTGCTGGCTGTGCGTTGAATGCGCGGTGCATGCGCGGATCATTCGTTCTGTGCGCTAGCAACACGCTGTGCATTCGTTGGATTTGTAAACATGTGCGCCCTGTATACGCTCTGCATGTATGCGCCCTGTATACGCGCTAGCAACACTCTGTGCATTCGTTGTCAACTCGCTAGCTTCTCCCAAATCCTGACAAAAGTTGGGCGCGCACAACGACGCACTAATCTTATTTTCCATTTTTTGATTTATTTTCAATGCGCGGGCCGTGCGTCGCGTATGTGTGACTGGGCCATAAAATGTAAACTTATTTCTATGTACCGAAACTAACAATTTTAGCAATACAAATACTCTTATATTGTACATATATGCTTATATTACATATGTAAATACACGTGTAATTACGCCAGTGTCTTCTCCATCCCCGCACTCTATAGCGGTGGTCGGGCCTGGGTGCGTTGTTGTTTGTGCGTGTGACATGAGTTAGCTACGTGCGTTCGTGCGTGCGTGCGTGCGTGCGTCGATGGAGCCAGAGCAGCAAAACGCAGAGGCAATTATTTTACTTCTTCTCTTCGCACAAGTATCGCGCTGTAAACGCGTGGTGCAGGTTCGCGTGTTACGCGTGTGCCGAACATCTATTGATATCTTCAAGTCGGCTCGTCAAGGAGCTGTTGTGTGTGAGGCCGTCTGTGTGTGTGGATTGATTGCGTGACTTTTTCTCCTTTCTGCGCGCTTGGCCAGAAGAATCTTTCTTTCTCGCGTGCTAGCGCTCTCTCTCTCTCTCTCTCTCTCTCTCTCTCTCATCTCATCCTCTCCTCTCTCTCTCTCTCTCTCCTCTATCTCTTATCTCTTTCTTCTCGCGTGCTAGTCGTCATCTCTCTCTCGCTCTCTCTCTCTCTCTCTCTTTCTTTCTTTCTGTCTCGCTCTCTCTCTCTTTCTCGCTTCTCTCTCTTTCTGTCTCGTTTTACTCGCTCTCTCTTCTCCTTCTCCTTTCCGTCTCCGCTCTCGCTGTCTCTCTTTCTCTTTCTCTCTTCTCTCTTCCTTCTCTTTGCCTCTGTCTCTCTCTTCTCTTCTCTCTCTCTTTCTCTCTCCCTGCTTCTTCTCCTCTCTCTCTCTTCTCTCTCTCTCTCTCTTCTCTCTCGTCTCTCTTCCTCTTCTCGCGTGCCTAACGCTCTCTCTGTCTCTCGTCTCTCGTCTCTCTCTCTTTCTTCTTTCTGCTCTCGCTCACTCTCTCTTTCTCGCTTCTCTCTCTTTCTGTCTCGCTCTTACTCGCTCTTTCTTTCTCTCTCTCTCTTTCTCTGTCTCGCTCTCGCTGTCTCTCTTTCTCTTTCTCTCTTCTCTCTTCCTTCTCTTTGCCTCTGTCTCTCTCTCTCTCTCTCTCTTTTCTCTCCTCTCTCTTCTTCTCTCTCTCTCTCTCTCTCTCTCTCTCTCTCTCGCTCTCTCTCTCTCTCCTCTCTCTCTCTCTCTCTCTCTCTCTCTCTCTCTCTCTCTCTCCTCTCTGGCTCTCTCTCTCTCTCTCTGCTCTCCTCCGCCGCCTCCCTCCCTCAGCCCTCTCTCTCGCTCCCATCCCCGCTCTGCCTCTCTCTCTCTCTCTCACCTCTCTCTCTCCTCTCTCTCTCTCTCTCTCTCGCTCCCTCCCCGCTCTCTCTCCCCTGATGCCACCGCCGGCGACTGTGGGAAACTTTTCCATAGCTGACGAGAACAAGTCCGCATACCAAAACTCAGCTACACCTCATATGTAACAAATATAGGTTCACACTAAAATAGGACAGGCCGTTAGTATATGAAATAGGCCAGTAAGGAGAGACAGATGACAAAGAGGGAAGAGCCATGTTTGGGTTATCTCTGCAGATTATATTCAGGTATTATCTTTAGAAATTTTCCTTGCAGATTATTGTATTTAATTGTTGACTGTTTTCGTGTCAATCCGTCTCCCTGTTCAAAGCGATTTGATTTTCATATGATTTGAACAGGGATACATTAAAAGAATGATCTCTTAAAAATACATCTCAAATCTGAAAACATGAAGTGAATTATAATCTTTTATGGCTATACTTGTTACACCAACTACTTGAAAATTGCCAAGAATTTATGCTGTTATATATATGGTATATAAAATGAGAAATAACATGGCCACATTCTTCAATGTCGCGACAATTGCTTTGTAAATGGAAAAATCAGCGAAGTAGAATGTATTACCAAGTTTTGATATGTCAGAGCGCGTGTGTGCAAGCATAGTGCCTATAGTAGCTCCACGGCACTGCTCCTGCCCGCATGCACGCGCACCCGCGCTCACATACGCAACGCGCGCGCATGCATGTACACTTACGAAAGCACGCACACGGACGCGCGCACGCATGCATGCACGTTTTCACTCATAGCATGCATATAGTCACGCGTGCTCGTGGAATCACTTGCAATGGCAGATTAGCACTGGCGATTCTGGTGACAGATGAGTTAAGGTGACAGGTAACTAGAATGCATGGCGCCGAATCGAAGGAAATGCAGTGGAGGCCCGAGGGATGATAGCTAGTATATCGCGTGATCGGCACGTATCGATAGCAATAAGACACTGATGACGTGTTCGTGAAAGGTGAGCACCGTATTGCTGTCATTTGCCTACGAGGTTTTCACGCGCGAGAGTCCGTTAGCAGTGCCTGCGAGTACTGTCGCACTGTAGTGTCGCACTGTGGTGTCGCACTGTGGCGTCGCAGTGTGGTGTCGCACTGTGGTGTCGCAGTGTGGTGTCGCACTGTGGTGTCGCAG